TACTGTCAGACAAGACAGAGAGAGACAAAAATATTCAAATTATCATTTGGGATTAGTACTATTCATTTTTCTTTAATTCAGTAACATGTTCTGATCTGAGAACTAGTGTTTGTAGGAGACAATAAAATATAATATTATATATAATAAAATATAAATAACTATTTTATAGTTATTAATTATATCATTTAATCAATAATTTAATAATTTATATAGAACATATTTCCATAAAGATCATGGGTAAACATGAGTAGTGGACAAAGTATGATGTTGATTCCAGACCCAGCAATAAAATATAGTGAACAATATTATACTGTATCCAAAAAAACAAAGATTTTACCAATTAATGACTCCACTTAATGCCCCTCTGTTAATGCTCTATTAAACAGCAGCAGTCTGGAGTGGGCAACAACAGAGGGCAACAACAGAGGGCAACAACAGAGGGCAACAACAGAGGGCAACAACAGAGGGCAACAACAGAGGGCAACAACAGAGGGCAACAACAGAGGGCAACAACAGAGGGCAACAACAGAGGGCAACAACAGAGGGCAACAACAGAGGGCAACAACAGAGGGCAACAACAGAGGGCAACAACAGAGGGCAACAACAGAGGGCAACAACAGAGGGCAACAACAGAGGGCAACAACAGAGGGCAACAACAGAGGGCAACAACAGAGGGCAACAACAGAGGGCAACAACAGAGGGCAACAACAGAGGGCAACAACAGAGGGCAACAACAGAGGGCAACAACAGAGGGCAACAACAGAGGGCAACAACAGAGGGCAACAACAGAGGGCAACAACAGAGGGCAACAACAGAGGGCAACAACAGAGGGCAACAACAGAGGGCAACAACAGAGGGCAACAACAGAGGGCAACAACAGAGGGCAACAACAGAGGGCAACAACAGAGGGCAACAACAGAGGGCAAGGTCGTGGGGAAAGTTGAACATTTCATGTTGTGACAGAGTCAACATCTACGCCGGCTCTTTTTCTTCTGACTCTGGTTTTCCCTCTGAACACAATCTCAGTTTGTTTGCTCCGATCGACTGGAATTCCCTGAAGGAAATGAGGATGTGACGTAAAAATGATGAATTCATTACCAGTCCGTCTCCCAGAATCCTCTCTGCCGTCACCGCCGACTGTTTACATGTCGCACTGCGATGAACGCAGTGGGAGATTCAGGAATCCACGTGGAAATGAAGCCACAGCCATAAACATTTATTATGGGAATACACTGATCTGAACACACACACACACACACACACACACACACCCCCACCCCCACAACAGCAGTGATGTGGTCAATGGACTGAAATGAGGAAACACCTGAACCGGGACAGTGGCTCAGTGGTTAAGGAAGGTTTCAGGTTCAAACCCACCAGCTGCCGAGTTACCACTGAGCAAGGCACCGTCCCCACACACTGCTCCCCGAGCGCTTAAAGCTGCCCCCTGCTGACTGTTGGTGATGTGTCCCTCTGTGTGTGGCGCGGTGGTGCAGTGGTGCGGTGGCGTTTCACTTTCCCTCCTCTCCAGGACCGTGAGGCATCAAAGCCAACCTACGAACCTATGAATGTGAACACAGACCTGAGTGAGTGAAGTTAGTCTGGCACACA